TCAGTTTCAAACAAAGAGAGCAGCCTGTTGTGTTATTACACTGTTGTATTATGTCATGATATTAAACAAATTGATGGAACCGTGGCATTTTATAATTACAAAGACGTTTTCCTTCCAGCACGTATTATTTGACTGCAAGTCAGGGAGTGACAGAGTGAGAGACGGCGAGGAGCAAACGTGACACCCAATATTAATAAATACAGCACTTTGTTGTGTTATGCCACTGTTGTATTATGTCAAGATTAAACAAAATGAAGGAACAGTTACGATTTACAAATATGCCGATGTTTTGCTTCAGCTGATCTTCTGTATTGGCTTACGCATCCACACAATAATAATAATAATAATAATAATAATAAATAATAAGATAACATAGTATGGATGCTGAATCAGCATTCATACATTAATAATAAATAATAGGATAACATAGTGTGGATGCTGAATCAGCATCCATATAATAAAGAAATAAATAATTAGAAAACATAGTATGGATGCTGATTCAGCATCCATACTAATTTTGGGCTTGGATTTTAAAAGGTGTGAGCTTTAATTAGGTGGGGATGGTCTAATAACAAGACATCTACAAGTTGCATTATGGAGACTGTAGGGTTTAGCACTTTTTAACTTGACAGGCTACATAAGCATAGCTCAGGGGTGGTCAATTCCAGTCCTCCAGGGCTGCTGTCCTGCTTGTTTTCCAACTATCCCTGCCTGACCTGTTGCTGATTACCTGGCTCATGTGTGTTCAGCCAGTCAGAAGCTAGAAGATACCAGTTCACTTTATCTTTCCTCACTCCACTTTCATCTAAGATGGTATCTTCAATCAGCAGCAGGTCAGGCAGGGATAGTTGGAAAACAAGAAGGACAGCGGCCCTCGAGGACCGGAATTGGCCACCCCTGGCATAGCTGGTTCTGCCTCTATTAAATTTCTTTCTCTTTGCGCTCTCTTTTATTAAAGGAGAGCAATATAAAAAACTGTACAGTAATGCTAACAGGCTACCCGTTTTGGCACTTAAAAGCCAGGCTTCACTGAGAGAAGACTTTTTTCAGGTGTTGCTTGCTAACAATAATTCTGTAACAGCTATAAAGAAACTTCAGGCTGTTGTCTGCTGAGGTGTCCCTACTCATCCAGAGACTACTGCCACAATTTTTGGGTGGGATTTTGAAGTGGTGACTCTTCTCTAGACAATTTAAAGGTGTTTTACATAATTTCTTTTCAACCACTAGAGGTCTAGTGAGACTCCAAACCACTGGCCATACTGGCCTTACCTACTCCACCTGCTCATGATGCACTCATCCCTCTACTCTGCCTCTCTTCCACAGTGAGCCCAATCGTGCTTGGCTGGGCTCAATATGCGCCAACATATTCACCAAAATTGCAAAACAGTGTTGGACATGCCCATATGTGCCTTCACCTGGTTTATCACTGTGCCCTATAAAATACAGCCAACTGTGTAAAATCCTAACTAATTTATTATTTTGTCAGAGAGTGCTGAAAAATGCCCATCACAGAGCTGTCATTAAATTACTTTTTTTGTCTGACCAACTGTCCAGAAATCAAAGATTTACAATGCAGTGTCGGGCAATTAGTCAGTTCATTGTCTCAGCACGGTGTAGAGTGATTAAAAAAAAAAGCCCAGCCTCCACCTGGTCTCGGTGGCTACCTTTCAAGAAATGGATACATGTTTGAGCACAGTCTTTTGCCCCATACAAAGGAAATCATAATGCATATCATAATGCAGTCCTGGAATTAGTGTGAGGTGTAATGGAGAAGTGACCAGCGCAGCAGAGCTCAGTATGAGGTTGTTAAATTGACTTCCCGGGGGGGTTACATTCAAAACACTTGAGCGCTTAATGCTGGTATAGAGTAGACTGATTGCATTTCTTCCTGTTCATTTCCGACCGGTCTCTCTAACGGTCTTTCTCTCTCCATGGCCTGTCACTGTGCTGTCATGACAACCACTTCAGACTAGCAGATCTTTAGCTGTGAGCCCCATGAATGGGTGTTACTAATAACTGTAATTATTACGCTTCAGTGTTTTCACTGCAGTGTGGTATTGTGGAGTTAATCTTTCATTGCCCTGTTTTACTGCCCTTTTATTAGCTGGGTAGTCATTATGATGTAGTAGCTGTACTTAAATCCTATTCTTAGACATTTCCATATGACATTAGCATCACAAGCAGTGAGGGACTCAACAATAGGGTTATTTGGATATGAGAAATACTGTGCTGACTTTTGCAGTAATATTTGTTTCAATGGGAGTAGAGTGCAGTATAACTCAGCAATTAAAGTGGTCAAGACAAGGATAATCACCTTTATTGGCCAAGTATGTTACACACAAGGAATTTGTTTCTGATACAGAACCAATGGCAGCCATCTGCGGCGCCAACTCAACCGATGGTTCTAACTATTGGGGGCATTCAGTGTCTTACCCAAGGACACTTCAACACATGGACTGGAGGCACCGAGATTTGAACCTTCGACCTTCTGGTTGGGAGATGACTGCTCTACCCACCGTACCATGGTCGCCTCCTAACAACTTGTAACAATGGCTGTTTTAGGGTTACAGTGCCATCATCATCCCAGATCCCTCATCTGACAGTGTACTGGACTCTTTCTCCAGGCGATTGAATCAGGAGACGGGTATGTTTTGGCCATGAGTAATTAGTTTCAGTTAGGTTCATGTTGCTGAGTATATTCCTCTGCACCCAAATTTAAAGCTATGATCGGTTTCTTGAACCTCTCATAGAAGTGTAACATATTCAGAAGAGGACTTTTACCAAGTGCTAATGTAATCCAAAGTGACATGAAAGCATGAAATGACAGAACCAGCTTTCAACTTGCTTTGAGGGGAAGTTCGGTCTCAGGATGTCATGAGGTACATCGCTCTGTTATTCTGAGCTCCAGAAGAACAGAATCACTTTGGAGGATTATGAAACCATCAACCAGACTCAGGAAACAAGCTGAAAACAAACTGGTGTGCAAACAGGAAAAGAGGAATAAAGGGGGAACAGGGCCATGGAGGAGGGATGAATATGATGATTTAGTGATTTAGTCAGGGAGAGAGAGAGGAGGAAAGCTGAGGCAGAGAAGACTGAGTGGCTATTAGCAGACCGATGGTGGTAGGAGCTGCTGATATGCTCCGAGGAGAGGAATACTACATGGAGAAAAGGCAGTTCAGGATGATGTGGAGAAAGAACAAGAGGGTGTGGGAAACAAAAACAATAAAAGGCAGGAGGATAGAGAGGGAGACAAAAGAAAACGGGAGAAGGAGGTAATGAGACAAAGATGGTTCAAGCACCCACTACGTAGAGAAGGGGGGAATGATTGAGAGGGAGGAGGTGTGGAAAAGCAGTCGTGATGAGATGGGTTCTGCTTCAGAAAGACAGGGAAGAGATAATACAAATGGGGGGATAGGACAAAAGTCCTGATGAAAAGAACCATTGCACTTTGAAACTCTTCTGAAAGAAGTTTGATCTCATATCACGAGCAGCATCTTTGCACATTTCAGTATCTCTAATAGGATTTGTAGCACTTTGATTTCATCATCAGTTATGCAGGTTACTAAGTGTTCCCCAGAATAAGAGCAGAGCTACATCATATGTCTGTAGCAAATAAAAGTCCAAAAGTCCCATGACTTGGCTATTCATCAGCACCTTTGACATTTGAATACAGAAAGCACACACTATTTAAGATAATAATAAATCTATAATAAAGATGTTTTTATCTTTTTACCTATATAGAGCTTAAAGTGACCTCCTTGTAGTCTGTCAGTGTGTCCAGTTAGAGCAGTGATTGTAAAAGTTGCGGTGCCTGTCCATCTCATTACGGAATAACACATGCAGCATCCTCAAGTTCAGTTTGACATTGACATTGAGGGCGAATATGTGAGAAGGGAAGAGGTGGGAGTAAGTGGGAAAATGAGAGGAATCTTTCCCCACGAGGATGTTTTACTTCACCTTCTCTGCCTTGTTTGATTAACAGCAAACAGAAAGTGGCCAGAGCAGCGGCAGAGCAGACCCTGTCAGGGGAGGGAGTTTCTGGGGTATTCACTTTGTTCAGACAACAGAGCTCTTATCAGATACAGCGAGAGTGATAGGGAAACTGTCTGGTACAGTGCTGCCTGTCTCACCAATGGGCTGATGGTATGGGCAGGAATTAAGAGGGAATAAAAGATATTTTACATGCCTTGCTGACTGATTTCTCATCTCTTTTCAGATGCTGCCACAGAGAGCTCGAAGCATTCCAGCAAGCTGTGATGGAACAGAGTAAGGCTGTGGACATGACAAGAGATCTCTGCAGAGCTCCCTTCCAGTCACAACACCAACATTAGAAAGTGGAGAAGCCTTTTATCTGAAATTAATGTCAGTAGTGTTGCAGAGGCAGCCTCTAGCTGCGCTGCCAGATCTAAGACAGTCCATGGAGGCGTGGCCTCAACAGTTCCCATGCTGCTGCCACTGGTAACACCAGCCAAGTGAACAGCGATGCCTTCTAAGGTCTCCTGCTTATACTTGCTGACAGTGGTTTGCTGGGCCAGTGCTCTGTGGTACCTGAGTGGTTCTCGCCCCTCCACTTCCTACGAGGGCCAGCTAAACATCCCTGTACGCAAGACGACCAAGTTGAACAAGAACGCCACCTTCAGCAATATTCGCACACACTCACTCAACCCACATGACTTCGGTTACCTCATCAACGAGGCCAAGAAGTGCGAGGCAGAGCCACCCTTCCTCGTCATCCTGATCAGCACCACTCACAAAGAGTTTGATGCCCGCCAGGCCATCAGAGAGACATGGGGCGATGAGAGTACGTTTCCAGACATGCGTGTGGTCACCCTCTTCCTATTGGGCCGCAGCACTGATGCCGTCCTCAACCAGATGGTGGAGCAGGAGAGTCAGATCTTTCATGACATTGTAGTGGAAGATTTTATTGACTCTTACCACAACCTGACGCTTAAGACGCTGATGGGCATGCGCTGGGTGGCCACCTTTTGTTCTAAGGCTCAATATGTCCTCAAGACAGACAGCGACATCTTCGTCAACATGGAGAACCTCATCTACAACCTCCTGAAACCCACCACCAAGCCCAGGAGGAGGTACTTCACTGGCTACGTCATCAACGGTGGGCCAATCAGAGACATGCGCAGTAAGTGGTACATGCCCCGGGATCTATACCCAGAGAGCAAGTACCCCCCCTTCTGCTCTGGCACTGGATACGTCTTCTCAGCAGATGTGGCCGAGCTCATATATAAGACCTCATTACACACCAGGCTGCTGCACCTGGAGGATGTGTACGTTGGCGTGTGCCTTCGCAAACTTGGCATTCACCCCTTCCAGAACAGTGGCTTCAACCACTGGAAGATGGCCTACAGCCTCTGCCGCTACCGCCGGGTGGTCACTGTCCACCAGATCTCCCCTGAGGAGATGCACCGTATCTGGAATGATATGACCAGCAAGAAGCACTTGAAGTGTTAGCAGGACTGTTAGCACCAGCACCAGTGGGAGAGTCAGGGAGGAAGTGAATGGCCTCTCATCACCTGCTTTTCCATCACTGGCAAATCCTGTGTAGCACATAGCACTGAGCTGAAGGAACAGTACTGACGAGGCTTTGTCTCTATCCCAGGAGTCTTTATAGTGCAAAGCCAAAGCCAACTCTGTATTATTCAAGGTGTTTATGAGTGCCACTCAGCCCCAGACTCACAAATTAGGCACAAAGCTGGAAATATTTTCCAAGAATGTGAAAAAAGATCAGCCTGTCGGTTCTCATTGCCAGCAGGACCAGGATTTTTATAGGAAGTTACACAGCAGGAAGCGCAGAGGCTTGTGTTAAACTGCTCATTTATATGAGACACAAACTGTCCCTAGTTAAGACACAACACATTACATAAATGCCAACAACGCTTCTGGAACTTAGACATTTGCCTCTTGGGTTGAGCTCTAATTATGAATGTTTCTCATGTATTTTCAGTTGTTGTACTTGCTGACCAAGGTGTTAGTGTTGGATGTAGCATCTGGCACCACAGGAGCTATCGTCATTGTTCAATCCGTGGTGAGTTTACAGCGTAATGACTCATTTAAATAGGTGGATCATTTTGCTCTGACTTTAGGAAAGTAGTGGATTAGGAGTATTAATGACAGGAGCTGTTTGCCTCTGTAATATTGTTTTCAGAATCAGACGTATCTTCTTACAACAGGTCCACAGACAGTGTGAAGACACAGGCTGCTTGCATTCTGTATATGTGTTATGTGCAGTTATTTGTCTATGAGCAGGCTGCAGACTATTATTTTTTCTATTACTCAAACAAGAAGGAGAACAGATGTACTGAGGGACAAGTGTGTAATGAGGACAAAAATTACATTTTTGAGTGCTTTCTTCTTTTGCATTACTTGAGATTAAATAAACAGCTTTTGTATTTATTAGAGAAAACAATATAAAAGTTTTTATTCTGGTCAATTTAATACACACACCCTGTAAGTTAATAAACCCACAGCCATATACTGTACAGAGATTAGACGCTGAAGTGTTGGAAAACATGACCTGCAGAAGTGGAAGTGTCTCTTTAGGAGTGCCAGCTGTCAACACATCATGCGAGGCCCTGCAAACAACACTGCCATGTCCTTTTCTGTGCAGGTGTTGGTGTGTGTGTGCATTAGCAGAGAGCAGACTGCGATTAATCAAATATAGCATCTGTGCAACTGGCACTTGAATGGCTGTTTTCACCCAATTTGTGTATGTGCTATGTAGTTGAAGTATGGTTAATCACTTTGCTGTCATTAGTGAGGACAGATAGCCTCTGATATGACATGTACATAAATGCCGGTCCTGGGCATTGTGTTGGTCAGAGAGAACCGGAGACTTTTATGCTCACACTGCAGGCTACAGATCAACTGATCAGCCACACTGCTCACATTGGGCATTTCAACCAGCTCAGTTCAGGCATCACAGAATCGGACACCCTGAAGAGAACCAACACATGTACACACTCACTCACACACACATACTCTATGTGTGCCTGTAGGCATGAGCGAGTGTGTACATGTGTTGGATTTCTGAACTCTTTGTTACAGGCACCACCATCACCATCATCATCATCATCATCCCAGGGAGCAGCAGCACCACTCCTGAGGGATTTGCTGCTGGAGAAATGAAAAATGTCTTCTCTTCTGTGCTCACAAAGATAAACATAAAAATGTTGGAAGTACTTGTGGTAAAGCTTTTTTTCCTCAAACTGTTTTCGCTTGAAAAACCTTGTGGGAGCTTGTAAGCAGAAAGCACACCATTGCTGTTGAGATTTCTTCATAATAAAAACTATTCCTGGTTGGTGTCTTTACATCAAATCCTTCTTTGTGATCAGTTTCTAGGGCAGTTTTTAAGCTGAAATATCACAGAAGCCATTTTGTTCCAGTTGATCAGTTTGTTCTTTGGTTTACTGTGTGGAAAAGAATTAAACTCCTAACATCCACAGTATGTTATCAGTTAATGACTTGATTTTCTTCCAAAATGTACATGCAAAATAACTGTTACTCACAGCTTCTATGCCCTCATGCTGTGTTTTTGAATTCCTCTGATCACCCCCTGTGGTATATGCAGTTTGATACAATATGCTGAGTTATAGAAAATCTGCTCTATAATTGCCAAAACAACCCAGTGGTAGAGCATTTAAAGGGCTAAAGCTTTGGGAAAATCGAGTGATTATTGTGGGGCTTGTGGTAAATGGACCTCATAATAAATGAGGCAGAGTGCTAGACACTGGGGAACATTAAGGATTGGCATTGGAGGACTGGTCCATGGAGCCTTGAGAAGATGGAAGGCACTGAGTAGACTTTGGTTTGGCATTGTAGTCCAGCGACAGGGTGAAAAGACTGTGGGTAAATTTCTTAATGTGGTACAATCCACTGCAGAGAACATCTCATGGAAAAACAGCTTTACATTTGTGTATACATATTCATATTATTCTGCTCTCTCTTTCACCCCAAATATATTTGCTTCAAACTTTAAATTAGCATGACCACCTCATGACTTGTCCTTTGAGACACAGTGGATGAGTGTTTATGAGAAAATAGCCATGAAGTAAATAGGCGGCATGTGCAATCTGCCATCTGTGCAGGCGCAGTTATACCAAGATGAGAGGAAAGGGTTCACTGAGAGCAGCTGGGGAGCCGGTGTAGAATCCTCCAGGAACAATGGCATCAGAATGATGCTGGGATTCATCCGGCACTTCCCTGGAATGATGATAACAACTTCAGGTGCAAGTGGCTTGACTTTTTAAAGTGGCCTGCAGTGATTGAGGATTTTGGACCTGCTGGATGTTCTTTTGTCACTTAAGGTTTGGATGTGCAGTTTTGTGCAAGTGTACTGTAGGTGATTTTTTTTTTTTTTTTAGTTTTTGATGACATTTTATTTTTGTATACATTTTTTCATATTTCTTTTGGATTTAATTTAAAAACATTATTTTTTCTAGTTTTTCCTCAGTATCTGACTCATGCCTGGTATATAGAAACTACACTCAAGCACTACATTAAAGGCTAGCACCGTTACAGTGCCTTGCAAAAGTATTCATACCCCTTGAATTTTTCCACATTTTGTCACATTGTAATTTGACATCCTGTGGTTCCACATACCTCTTTTACTCCTACTTTGCATGTGTTACTCTTATCGCTGTCAGTATGCAGTCTCCCTACTGTAGATTATATACAGTGCCTTGCAAAAGTATTCATACCCCTTGAATTTTTCCACATTACAACCACAAACTTAAATGTATTTTATTGGGATTTTATGTGATAGACCAACACAAGTATCGCATAATTGTGAAGCGGAAGGAAAATGATACATGGTGTTCAAGATTTTTTTACAAATAGGCTTAGATTAGGACATACAAGACAGTCCATATTATTGTTAGGACAGAATTTGGTGTAGGCAAATACTGTAAACCGTTAAACATATATTATTAGAATGTAGGAAGTTTAATGTAAAAATAGAACTACTGAAGGGTGGATATTAGAAATTGGAACGGAATGGAGAGTTAACGGTCTGTTAGAGATAGGGGACAAGCAATTGGAGATGTAAAGAGATTTGTTTAGATATTTAGAATGAACTGGGTTCATACTTAGAATACAACTTCACAAAGCCATGATATTACACACTCCGGTACAGTAGGTGACGGAAATTCATTTTCTAGGTTGGTCTGTAGCCCACCACTAAAACTCAAGAAGAAAAGGAAGGAGGAGGAAAAAGAAGAGGAAGAGCAAGAGCAAATCAATGCATGAGATTTTGTGGGCTGAGAATACAAAATGGCAGGTGCGAGTTGGGGGGAGGATACAAGATGGCACCTTAAAGCAGGTGGAAAGATGAGCTCCTCTGACCAAAACTTTTGAATGATGGTTAAAATTTTTTACTTTCCTTAAATTTAACTTTTACTCCAGAGTCCTTGTGTCAGCTTTTTAAACAGTTTTCACATTTGAGTAATTTTTAGAACTTTAAGGCCTCAGAAGATGTGTCAACAAAAAGAAGGGGGACTAGCTAGAGGTAAAGTTAGCCTCAAGTGACACAGTTGTTGATGGAAGACATGATTATGTGGACAGCGTGGAGACAGGAGTAGGTGATATCATGGACAGAGAAGAATTCCCACCAATTCCAAGTAGGTCTCCAAATACTAAGAGGAGCAGAGCTGGTAACTAGAATGACTATGGTACCATAATATCTACTCTATCACAGCTTATCAACAACAGATCAGATGCAGTTGAAAAGATGATAAAAGACAATGTTGCAGGAATTGAAGACATGAAAAATGCTGTACTTTAATTAAAAAAGGCACTAAACGCTACAACAGACAAAGTGGAGCTGGTGGAGCGTCAATATCAGTAGGTTGTGGAGCGCACTGGGCTGTGTGAGAAGAGAATCTGCGACCGCAAGAGCTACTCCAGACGGTGGAATCTGCAGCTTATCAGCATCTCAGATGGCATCACTGATGTGCGTCAGGAGGCCATACAGATATGTAAAACTGTTATCCCTAAGTTGAACTGACGACAGAGAGCAGGTCAAGTATCAGAGCTCAGATGGGACAAGGAAATAACACATATCCATTACTGTTTTTCCCGCCCACCAAGAGCCGGGGTCTGTCGGAGGTTTCTTCCGTTAAAGGGAGTTTTTCCTCCCCACTGTCGCCAAGTGCTTGCTCAAGGGGGATTTGTTGGGTTTTCCCTATGTAATAATATTGATAACAGTAAGGTCTAGACCTTACTTTGTAAAGTGTCCTGAGATGACTTTTGTTGTGATTTGGCACTATACAAATAAAATTTAATTTGATTTGATGAGCAGACTGTCCCTTTTATAGTGGACACTGTTCATTGTATGGGTGCTAAACGTCCGGAGTCAACAAGCCAAGAAATGTTATCATACAGTTCACTTCATGTGTCTTCAGAGGCAAACTCTGGAGAGCTGCAAAGAATTCCACCCTTCTCAACAACAAAGGTTTTTGGTTTGCGGAGGATCTTTCCAGGGTCGACCGAGCCAAGCCACTAGTGGATAAGGCTCACAAAGATGGAAAGGCTCCACATTTTGTTGCAGGTCGGGCTGTCATTAATGGGAAAGAAATTTTCCCTCCAGGATAATTTCACTGGATATCATACTACCATACTCATGAAATCAAAGGATGAAGCATGGACATATTTTTCCCTGATTTAATAATCAGACCAGTATCTATAACACCATATCATGCAGTTTCTCACTTTTAGCCTTCCGTATCCTTTAGGAAGGCTTATTTTGTAAGTTGAAAAAAGAGAGGTGGGAAACTTGTTTCTCTCGTATTTGAAAGATGTTTATTTCAGCAAAAAACAGAGAAATGGAGGGCGGTTTCTTCTTCTCTCTCTTTTACTTGGAGGATGTTTCTTTTTCAGCAAACACACACTATATCTGGTGACCTTAATTTTTGGAGATCTCAGTGGTTCTCGCATGGTACAAATAGGATAGCAGGTGTTTGTATTCTTAAAAATATCTTCACTGGTGATGTCTTACATTCAGACGGAGATTGTCATGGGCATTTTTTACTCTTAGTAACTGATATTGGACACAATGCATTGATAATATTGAACATTTATGGCTATAATTCTAGGGATCTTAATGATGCTCTTATTGAGGCTATTCAGGAGAGAATATTACTTTGGCTAAATAAATACCCTAATTGTTATATTATTATTGGAGGGGATTTCAATGTTGCAAGTGGTAACTGTTTGGATAGATATCCCTCCCGTGTGGCATCCACATTGAATACTGCACTAAATCTCTTTATAGAGAGATCTGATCTCATGGACATCTGGGGAGCAGCACATCAGAATCAGAAATGTTACACAGGGCAAAACAGTTCTGGTTCACTGGAGTCTCATATTGTCTACTGGCTGATCTCCTCTAAACTCAAAGAAAATGTATGTGTAGATACATATATTGCCGACATCCCTAACAGATCACAAAGCAGTTGCCATTGATATAGCATTTTCTTCTACAAATCCACAGAAGGCAATACTTTGGAAATTAAATAATTCATTACTAACACACACAATAATCAAAAAACTGATATAGCAAAACGAATCTCTAAATTTTGGAACAAGCTGCTAATAAAAAAATAAGTTTAGCCAAAACTGGGAGCTTTTAAAATATGAAATTGGGAAATATCAGGAAATATGGAAGCCAGTTGGCCAAGTCTAGAAGGTTATATGAAGAAACTCTTCTTACAAATATCAGCATTAACCAGTAAAGACCATGATAAATTATGAGCTAATGAAAAAAGCACACCGAATGAGCTTCAAAGAAAACTAGATGACTTCTATAAATTAAGATCTGAAGGCACCTTTATTTGTTCCAGAAATAGGGGGCTTGAAGCTGGTGAGCAAAATTCTGCATATTTCTTTAGAATTGAAAGAACACACTCTAAGAATAACTTTATCGAGCAACTCTTGGACAACAATAATATTATTAAAGAACTAAAAAAAATTGCTGCACACTGTTATCCATTGTATAAGAAACTATATAGCTTTAGTTTTAATGAAGATGCATGCAACACATTTTTTGTCTCGCTTCCACAGTATAAGTCACTAAATCTATCTGACAGAGTACTGTGACAAAGCCCTGTCTTTAAAGGAAGTTGTAGATTCTATTGTGTACCTAAAAAAATAATAAATCTCCCAGAGCTGACGGTATCTCATCTGAGTTTTATAAGATGTTCTCAAATCTTCTTGCTTGTTTTTTGCTTAGGGTTTTTTGTGAGAGTATTGACAGTTGCACTTTGCCTCCCACTCTCACTCAGGGTATAATCGCTTTGATTCCTAAACCCAAAAAAGACCTTCTGTTACCAGATAACTGGCACCCTGTCTGTCTTCTGAATGTAGATTATAAAATCTTTGCATTCTTGCTTGCTAAAAAGATGAAAAATGTTTTAGATGACATTATTGACGAG